CACAGGACCGTTTTATCACGGGTAGTTGGACCAATGAGGAGCAAGAGATTTCGCACCTCGTGCGAGTAAAAAATTTTCGCACCTACAAGTGCGACCGCTCCGTGACTTCGCACTTGATGATCAACTTCCGCACTCAGAAGAGCGAAAGAGTACTTTTCGCACCGTCTGGTGCGATTTGGAGCTTTCGCACTCGTGAAGTGCGATTTTCGCACTGAAATCGGCTCGGAACTTTTTAGTGAGTAACAGGCAGTTAAACGGCAGCTCATCGGCAGACAATCGGCAGTCTATCGGTAGCCAAACCGTAGTCAAACGGCAGACAATTTTCTCTGTCAAACGGCTGACAAACGGCAGACAAACCACAGACAAACCGCAGTCTATCCTCAGCCCATCCTCAGCCCAGTTCGACTGAGGATTGACTGCCGTTTGTCTGAGGATCGACTTACGCTCTCAGACAATCTTCAGTCCTCTGTACGAGATGAAAATGAAAACATTCGACACGACCAGGCAGCCGCCGGCCCGGCCTGGTACCGAACCCTGGCCCCCGGAATGGGAGTCGGAGTTCTTGCTCCCTGGGCCAGAGAGAGCTGGCAAAGAAAATAGTTTGCAATGCAAACTTCCTTACAATGCTTGAAAATTCTTTGTAAGAATTTTGCAGAGTTCGAATTTGAACTTGCCTGTCCGCTTATCTCTATCTTCGGTAGGGGGTCCCAGGCGTAAATCTTGAGGAGATGTTGCGCACGTTTTCCACTTAAAAGAATAGGCCAGCCTAATTCGAAATTGTTCAATTTTCAACTTTGTACGACCCATAGGATTTTTTTCCTGGTGGAGTGAACCCTAGCAAAATTTGGAAAAGGCGACAACAGTCCTTGAATTTTACTAACTCTATGAATTCGCAGAAAATGATGGTTACATTTTACTTCTGTTGTGACTTTAAATACGTAACCTTCATAACAGTACTGCTTTAAAATCTGTGGAATTTGCAAAAAAAATCGTTCGCAATGCGCACCTATATTCTTTGTAAGTATTTTGCAGTAATGTTGCTTGTTAATTGTCCTTGCAGATTTGCAGGCTGAGTGATGATCTCTCCCGTAATCCTGTTCACTCTTCCGGTGGCTTTTACCGTTGTTGAAGCCAGATGGATTAACTCCTATATTGTAAGTTGAAAGGACTTTTCCATATCGTAACGACGTCTGACAAATAAGTCTCGGGTGCCCAACTGTGGTAATCAGGTGTACACAGACTTGGTAATCAGTGGTAATCACTGGTAATTCTTACACTCGTGAGGGTCCTTTAAAAGGACAAATTTGTTGATTTAGACATGAATTTTAGTGCACATCTTGCCTAAATACCAACGCGCATGTTTAATATGGGAACTTTGCATCCCTCCCATGGACAAAATCACGATTTGGCCAATCATAGAAAGCAAATTTGTAATTTGCATGATAAGGAATTAGGAACTACCAAAAAATTGCACAAAAATTCATCCTTCTCGGAACGAAAAATTGCCGTTTCGATTTAGAATGCAGGTGGATCATACCTAGTATACAGGTAATCTTTGGTAATCATTGGGAATCTTTACAATTTGGTAATCCGGTGTACACATTTTTATGGAGCTAGGCACCCCTCGGTCTCACATAAAAAACGTCCAGAAGAATTAATTCTAAGTAGTGCAGAAAAGCACTTCCTGGCACCGAAAACATCCCAGTTTTTCTTTTCCTCTCGTCAAAACGGACCCGATGATGTGCGGGTCGACCAGAAGCGACATACTCAAATATGACATGGCCAAACTACACGTCTATCTAAGCAAAAATCCATTGTTTTCTCATCGAGATACTCTACGACCGTACGGCAGAATTTTTCAGTTTGCCAGTATAACACGAGGAGGCGGTTGATAACTTTTGAACCGTCCCAGATTGGTTTATTCCTATGATTCTCGTCTACATGTTGGCTGAGCGACAGCGAGGCCTATTACTCCAGTGATATTCGAAAAGTTCTGTGTCTGTTAGGCTGTTTCAAAAAAAAGGGGGGGGGTGTTGCTAGAACGCATTTAAAATGAATATATAGCCAATCCTAACAAGGGGCAAGTGTAAATTCCCGATCTTCCCATACCCCGTTTGTTTTGAGTAAGAATGGCACCTAATACGACCTAATGTTTGTACAAAAGTAGAAATTTGTATTTTTCGAAATTATACGTTTTTAGTCTATAATGAGTTTCGGTATGTAACAGTCTGGAAAAAAATTTGTCGGTATTTGATATATCCTTCGGAAAAGTAAATCACGAAAGTAGAATCCCATGGACTGAAATTTCGTCCGTTCGGCTCTATCTCTCACTGTTTAGGCGCTAAAGGGAGTCTCTCGAATAGAAATGGCCACAAAACGAAATGATTGTATTATCTCTTTAAAATGGCATCCTTTGGAGTAACTCATTAATCTAGAATCCTTGGGGCGAAAGTGTTTTTGTTTTTTGTTTGGCTCCATCTTCCACCGTTTGGGCACTAAAGGCAGTTTTTTTTACCACAATGCGTCCCTCCCCTAAAAAAAATAAAAAAAATACATATATATATATTTGTTTATGAGTCTTAGTAGAGCCATTGGGCCTATTTTATGGTGGCACACATCATTAACGAAATGTGTTCGCTTCCATGCTAAAAACTCTTAGTCTGATACATTTTGTTTTCTCCTTGTATTTGACGTTCAGAGTCATTTCAAACTATGCCAACAGGTAAATTTATTATCTTAACAGTCTTACTCTTAGAAGTCTTTTAGAAGTTCTCGACAGGCCGCAGGAAGTTCCACACTCTGCCGCGTGTGCCCGGCATGATGCGGACCCATCTCATGCAGCAGGCCGTCCTCGACTGAACAAGAGAAGAGAGAAAATAGACCTGCGAGAGAAGCTGGCGAGGAAGACCGAAGAGCTTAACGTGTGTAAGAAGCGGAACCGGGAGGACGGCGCCTTGGACTTCCGCACGTTGAGGATCACTCCCGCTCCCTTCGCCATGGTGGAGTGCCAGGTAAAAAACTATAAGCGGCACAGCATGAGAAGCCAGTATATGGATGCTGGCAAGGCCGCGTGCCTGGGGCACCAGAACCGAAGCAGAGCCGGCTACAACGCCCTCCCCTGTCTAAAGCCGACCAAGAAGACCCTGCGCTGCGCACGCTCACGCAGCCACTATACCTGAAGCCAGGGCACAACCCCACCATCTTGGACGCTCTTGGGAAGAGAGTGGCGGCGATGCCCGACAGCGCCAAAGATGTCATCATCTTCGATGAGACGGCCGACGGCCGTGGTGAGGGGGCTATCATCCCACGACCGCACCACCGGCAACAGTCGTACGATGCCGAGGTCATGATTAGGATGGTACGTGGCATCTATGACGGCTTGAAGCAACCCTTGAAGCAGGCGTTCCAGCCCACGAACAAGAAGTTGACGGGAGTCCACTTCCGGGACCTCTTCAAGACCACCATGGAGGCCGTTATTTCCCTGGGGCTCAGGGTGCGGTGCATCGTGACGGACGGCCTGGCGATGAATGACACGGCGGTACAGCCTCTCGGCGCAACCGAAGAAGACCCGTGGTTCTTCGTCTACGGCAAGAAGAGCTACTTCATCTCCGATGTGCCGTACCTCTTGAAGTGCCTCCGGAACGCCATCATCAAGTATGACCTGGTCGTTCCGGAAGGCGAGGGCTGATCTTGGGTGCAACGTGACTACATCAAAGCCTTCATAAGGTTGGACATCGAGTTGCACCCAAGACTAGCCCCTAGAGTGACTTTGAAGTACCTGAGCCCCAGTCACTATATGGCACGATGAACGTGTTGTTGCACAGGCCAAACAGCTGCTGAGTAAGAAGGTCGCCACCGGCATCTGGCCCTGTTGCATGCTTTTGAGGAGCCAATAGAAGCCATCGCCACCCTTAAGTTCTGCGAAAGGGTAAGCGACCTTTAGGACTCCTTAAATGGCACTGTTCACGTTGCCGATCCAGCCCCAGGACAATTCAAGTGTGCCATCACATCACCCAGCACTATAATTTTGTGGGCTCGCAAAACCTGGCATTTCCCAAACAATTCCTCACAACGCTCAGCTCCATGGCCTACTTGTGGGAGGACCTGCAGAGGGAGGGCAGGGCCTATCTGTGCTGTGGCAACGTCAACACGGACTGCATAAAGAACTTCAACAGCCTGCTGCGCGACTCTGCTGGTCCGAAGAGGGCCTCCACCATCAAAGCAGAGTTCCCTGCAGTTTTTGGCTCTGCTGTTGTCAACGAACTAGCAGCGTCAGCAAAGGGCGCGAACTGCAGGGACGACTGTGCTAAACATATCCAGCATTGCACCAAACTATTCTCAAGACATTCGTTCAACCGAAAATGCATGACTTCTCAACGTTAATTTGTGTATTAAGAGCATAAACGGTCGCTTATTTTGCCGCTGGCGCTGGTGCGCGCACTCTCTAGGAACATGCTCATCTTCGTCTCCAAATGGGCGATGCAGTCCTTTTCAGTCCTATTATCAAATTATATGCCGACCTCAGTGAGCTGTGGAGAACGATGCTGCAGGTTGCTAACATGAGCCGTAGCCCCAACCGCCTCCTTAACAGAGGGGCTTGGTTACTGGAGGAAGAAAAAAAAGGGACCTTGCTGTCGAGGTAATATAACAGGGATAAGTTGTATCTATTTGTATTCCAGTTTTTTCACCCCAACCTTTCGTCAACAAAATTGCTAGTAACTTTAAAAACTGGCCTGCCGGCCGGTAACGAGACAGTCCAGCTCCAAAAGCAAATTCAAAATACAGACGCTAAGGCTCGTATCTTTAAATTCAATAAGGCATCAAAATAAGACTGAAAATCTGCTTATCAAAACTTAAACGTTCATCGGCAATATCGGCAACGGCAACCTTTATCAAGACGGGATACTTTCACCTTACCCAGGAGCGCTTTATCATGTTTCAGAAAGCTGTGGTTAAAATCAAAAACAACAAAAATCAGCAAATTATGCTAGAATCACCATTCAAATTTTGCTGAATTCGTAATTTCTGCGTGCGCGAAAACAAGCACGTTCATATTTCAGAGCGTTCTGGTTCAAATTTAAAATTTGATCAGACTGGAGACCACTTCTCAAGTGGACGGGCCATGTGGCGCGCGGTGCCGAATGAGCTCTAAGAGGGCAGGGGTTGGGGCGTGGGGAGCGAGGAGCAGCGCTGCGAGACTCAAGTGGGGGTTGGGTGGCCCACCATGGCCTGGCGCGAAGCAAGGGATAAGGGCGCTATGTTTATAACACAACCAGAGCGATGACAGGGGACTGCCACCGGGCTTGGCACGGACGGCCGTGGCACGGACGGCCGGGACGGAAAGCCTTCCCCCACAGCCTCATATTATAGCAAGAGAAATCTTTATCAACGTCAATCGGCTTATCAAAACTGGAACTGGAACGTCAATCGGCAATCTTTATCAAAACTGGATAACGATAACCGGCAATATTTATCAAAACGGGAAACGTTTACCTTCGGGTAGAGACAGACCACAAGGGACTGTCTAAAAAGATGCCGCGAGTGGTTGACCTGGGTGTTTTGCAAATTTAGAGATGCTAAAGCTTAGCGATTTCCGTTTTCTTCTTCCCCGCATTCTTCTGCATTTCAGCCTTGCCGGAATGTTTTATTGCGCATCTGCTATTATCGTGCTTACAACCAAACAAAGAAACAGACAGACAAACATACAGAATAATACTTTCTGGGTCAGTGGAATACTTGTCTTCGCTAATCGCTCAGCTAATAGCACTTTTGACCGCCAAAACAAAATATTGGAGTTTGAACCGTGAAACTTCACAGTACTACTGTGAAAAACATGACAGAAAAACTACTCGCGGGTTAAGGTCCAGCTGACGAAGGGTGGGTCTGGGGTGTTGCTGCACCGTTAAGTTTGAAGTTTAAAACTGGACTCATTTCAGTTGGGGGCAACCCGACATGTCCACGGTAAATACGTCCACAGCAGTTTGGACGTAAATGAAGCGCTTTGCGAAAATACGTCCAATGATTTGGACGTAAAGTAACGTCTGCGATTATTACGTCCACAATGTGGATGTACTTAAGGTCCGTGTGGGGTTGGTGGAAATACCTCCACAAAATCTGGCGATAATTGTCGCCGCTGTGATTTACATCCTCAGAA